TGGAGGTAATGTACCAGGATGGCCACGTACTCCAGATGATGGTCTTCATCGTATTGCAGTGCCACGTTCAGCAGACTCTTGAATGTCTCCAGCGAAACCTCGTCTTTGAATTGGGCGTCGCTCAGGTTGCTTGTGGTCCAGCTCAGCAGGTCCGTAGCGTAATCCAGGGCTGCTTCCGGGATTCTGTCCAGTACTAGGAAGGTGCATATTGTGGCATCCAGTCTAAGGGCAGCCGCTGCAGCTTTGCCGGGTTCTATCTGCATGAGCTGCATGTCTGGAGGATCCTGTGGCATTGCTCACCAAAATCATTACAAAGATTGAAAAGTACGGCCAAAGTGGTCAAGCGTAGTTCTGGCGAGGGAAGGCAGCCAGCGATGGCTCCGAGCTCTCTCACGGCGAGCTCTCTGTTGGTATCTTGACTCCAGTCAGACTGTTTGCGTCATACGAGGGCCTCTTCAGGTTACAGTACCATTATCAGCAACCGAGTTGCCGATGACTCTCAGGTATTGCTTTGCTACAGGGTCTTCATGGCGAACGGTAGACAAGCCACGAAGAGCATAAGCAAGGATGCCGCTGTCGCGGAACGGGGCCTGCCATCTTTCTATACATTGTCAGCAGGGTTGGCTTTGAACAGAGGCATAACATACTACGACCGCCAACAGCCGTCCCAAACAGCTGCAAGGTCTTCTCTATGGCCTCATTGTCCCCACTTGCTGCAAACGCATCGAGCTTATGCACGTAACCTGTGAGGACAGCGGTCTGGCCTGCAGGGTTGCCTTGGAGTAGGCGCTCTAAAGACGCTATATAGTCGCCAAGCTCCTCATTGGATAATGGCATATCGCAAAAGTGTGAAGATGAAGAAACGCAGTCGCTCAAAGTCGTGGCAAAGCTCAAGAGTGCATAGTGGCGGTAGAGATTGCGCAAGGATGAAACGGCTACTCGCAGTCGTCCGGAGCCGCCGTACAGGTGATGGCTACTAGTCGGATTGGTTTCAGGAGAACTCCAGAAAAAGTGCAATCAATAGTTCAGCCACTTGTTTTTTGCAGATGCGGAAAGAAACGGGGTGAGTTCCTGCGGCAGCGTCGGTCGACCCACCGCGCGGTTGGCCTTGCCTTTGGCCGGTTCCGTTGGACCCCTGGACACAGATCCCTTGGCGGCAATTGAGCGATCTGGCACCGAACATTCACCACCACAGACGTCGAGCATCACGCCCTTTCCCGCACTTCTTCCGACCACCGACCCTCGTTTAGCCCGTTTACAACAACCAATTCGCCAACATGACGCGCGCCACGCAGACCATCAGCATTGGCATGCTCCTCACCTCTGTATGCAGCCCCTTACCTCTACATATTGAGATTGGATGCTAACATGTGATAGATCTACCTCTCACTGTTCCTCCAAGTCGTCCCGCTGCCTCAGAAGATCCAAGAGGAGATTGTTCCTTTCGTAAGTCTTACCTTTACATAGAAGCGTTGGCCCACCACCTTCACCATCTCCATTGTTATTGTACTGGGCTGCCACTAACCAAACCATAGCTACCCTTCTGGGCCCTCATCTCTTTCGGCGCATACCTCCTCTTCAAGCTCGGCTGGGGAGTCTTCACCTTCAACGACGTACCGGACGCGCACAAGGAGCTCATGCAGCAAATAGCAGAGGCGCGGAAAGATCTTCAGGCAAAGGGCGTGGACGTCGGCGAAGATTAGACGAGATGGAAGAGTGGGGTGCAGCATAATTGGTATCACTTTAGGGCATAGGATGTAATATCGCAAGATATGTAATGGATGGGTATTTGAATGGCAAGATAACTGTATGGGTATTGCCGAATTCGAAGCTTACGCTGCCGCAGCAGCTTCGGCCTTCTTCTGCGCCTGCTTCAACTTCTTCTCCGTCCTCATAAACTCCCGAATGCCCACGGGTATATCGTCAAACAACTTGTCCTTCTCCGCATCATCGAACCCAGTGTCCCAATTCGTCTCACTTCCACCGCCATCGTCGTCCATACTTGTCGCAACGTGACTCGGAGATGTGTCTCCCGCTACCATGCTTCCTGTACCCTTTCCTTCCTGCCGCTGTGCCTGCATCGCCGCCCTTGCCTGAGCGCTCTTCTCGGCCCACTCTTCCATTTCGTCTCGATACATGTCCCATACACAGTTCACGCATCCAGACATGCAGCAGTTGTCTGGTTCTTCGGGTCGCGGAGGGACTAGTACGCCGGCAACGTTCTGGGACGATTTCATGATTTCCTGTTTGCGTTCTTCCAAGGCCGTGGTAGACCCAAAGATGATACGGGCTTTTGCAAATGTCTCTTCCTTCTGCGTCTTTGGTGGCTCTTTTGGCGGTTCCGGTGTCGTGTGGGATAGTGGCTGTACTTCCGACAGCGGTTTCTTCAGCATGTCTAGATCTTGTTAGTTCGAGTACCGCTGGCGATGTGGGTGAGGGTCCAACCTGCATAGAAGCCGGTGATAGGCCTGGCTTGTTCGCCTTCTGGTGCAACATAGCCTTTGTAGCGACGCTGTATCCGATTGCTATTTTGAAGCCCTATCCGCCCTGCCTCTGTCGAAGCACGCGACCTGCGCCATGTCTTCAAGCACGAAGCGCAGAGCTCCTGGCGCAATGCCAGTTGCCCGGAGTATACGATGCGATCCATTGGCCCCAAGAAACAGTGAAGAGATGAAGCAATTACACGAGCCGCTTCGTTATAACATGTCGAAGTCAGCCAGTGTTGTCGATTGCCAATTCGCAGCTGATTGAAAGTGACGATTGGCAGTTCGACGTCATTTTGCGCCGCCTTTCCGAACGTCGGCAAAAGCTGCAGCGAACGCCGACAGGGCAACAACACGCGCCGACGCGTCGCATTCACTGTTATCGTCGCATACCCCACCAGCCCATCTTTCCCAACCCGGACATATTACTACCACAAAAGCGCCCCAAATACGCGCCGAAGTTGAGGATCTTGCGAAAGCCTCATATGCGAACATCATGAACGAACCACCGGCGAAACGGCGGAGGACCAGCTCGCCCACCGAACAAGCGTCAAGTCCGCTGAGGAAACCTCCGCGACGACCGTCTTTCGCGTCGCCTACCAAAGCCAGTCTTGCGCGCAACTACCCGAATCTTCTCTCAGCATCTCCGAAGCGCAACCCAAACCGACCTGTAGCAGCCAGAAATGGCTCCGGAGGAAGGGAAGAGACCGAAGTGGAATTACCCAGCGAGAGCGACCTGCCAGAACTCCCAGGGACACCCTCACAGGATGTTCGCGCAGCATCGAAGCAGCCGCGGCGAACGATGATCTTCTCATCACCAAGCAAGCGTCCCCCGCGCGTCAAAGATCCCGTAAAACAACCTCCACCGAGTTCGAGAGCACCAGCGGTACAATCAGACGATTTCACAGGGACGGTAGAAGATGGCCCAGTGGAAGACATAACCGAAGAGATAACTCAAGAAGTGGTACAGAAGAGGCAGACTCCAGATCCAGAAATTGAGAGAAGGAAACAGGAAAAGGCGCGTCTACAACGTGAAGTAGAAGAGTTGGAGTCTCAGGTGTCAAGATGCGTCGAAGAAGTCGTGAAAGAGCAGCGCCGCAGTCCGGAGGATTCTCTGCGGTCTCCAGAGCGCGACAGCCTGAAGTGAGTCCAAAACGCTCCCATGATAGCCAAACTGTGACTGACACAATCCCAGGAAGTTCATATCGGATATCAGCGGCACCGTTACAGAGCCAGAGAAGCCCGCACCAATATCAAGTCTGCTTTGTTCGTTCCTACCATTCGCCGCCCTCTCCGTTCCTCCCCCACGGCCGAAACAAGAGGAGAAGCCTGTCCCATCACATCGCCCGGTCGAACTCGCAGATCCCTTACCATACCTCCAAATGTTCACATCCCTCAACTTCTCCACACAACTCAGCCTGCCCCGCGGCAAGATATCCCCCACATCACGGCGGGTCCATCAGCAGCATACCATCGACATCGCCGGTCCACAGAAGCTGCTCACAGCCCAGGTTTCGATTACCATTGACGCATTAGCGAGTGAGATTATCGAAATGGAACTTCTAAGAATCTCGCCGTGGGCTGAACGTGAGCTGGGTACATTCATCCGGTCGAAAGCGCCAGAAAGAGATCTGGGTAATGCGTCTTGGGCTATGGACTCGTACTGGGAGATTGCGAAGAAGCGGGCACAACACTGGCACAAGTGCGAGACTGCGTTTGCGCATCTACTCGTAGGCCGGACCTCAGACGACGCCGAGAACGCACAATCACGGCCGCAAAGCAAGCCCGCGAACACTATCACGCGGAAGGACTTGAGCAGGAACTTGGGTCGTGATACCCTGGTCTTGCAAGACAAACACGTCCTCCTGAAGCTCAACTGGCAAATCAGCTTCGATTGGACAGGCGAAGCGGAGTCGGACGTCAGCGTTGAGGCTGCCTTTCCGCAAGTATGGTCTGAGACAGACGATGGCGGTGCGGCGTTTAAGAAGATACCCCAAACTTTTGCTTCTCTTGTTCGTACTAGAGGCGCTTTTCAGGCTACAAAGGTCATGGTAGCTCTATTGTTTTCTCGGTAGAATGCATTGTTTCGATGAGGCCTGAAGGTATTCGCCATGTTCTACGTTGATGTACTGAAAATGTGAGTATAATGTATCCGTCAGGGTGTGCTATGGGTGGCATAACTCGAAGGACTCCGTCCTTTGTCTTCGTCAACTGCAGTCAAAATTTTGGCAACTTATAAGCGTTGCTCTACTGTCGCTGGCAGCAAGTCGAGTTGATGTAACTCGGTTCTCGTCATTGGGTAGAAATTCGTCACTCGCCCATGGTACGTACCATCAACGCCCACGTACTCGGCACCCTTCATATGCAGACCCAGTCCCCTTTTTATTCTCCTATCCTTCCAATCTTTCTCTAGCATAACACACCGCGAATACCTCCCAGCTCCACCTTCACACAACTTCCACCACCCCAAACACCCACGTATTCCTCAACCCCCATCCCCCCCTCAACCACACCAAAATGGCCGAGCGCAAAACCCTCCAAAAATACTACCCATCCGACTTCGACCCCTCCAAACTGGCCCGCTCAAAGAAATCCTCACTCCCTATCAGCACCGTCGTAAACTTCGCCTGCCCTTTCCGCAGCATGCGCTGCCTCTCCTGCGGCCACTACACCACCCGTGGCAAAGTCTTCCGCAACAGCCCCAAACACATCTCGCCTGAAACATACCTGGGCGTAAAGATCGTCACTCTGCACTGTAAGTGTCCCGGCTGCGGCGCGGGAATCGTTATTGAGACTGATCCTAAGAATATGGATTATAGGATTTTGAGTGGGGCGGTGAGGGGTTTTGAGGCGTGGAGAGACGATGAGCGCGCCAAAGATACTGAAGAGCAGCGATTGGAGAGGCTTGAAGCTGAGGGACTTGATGGAGGCGATGAGAAAGCGACTATGGAGACGCTGGAACGGAAGACTGAGGATGCGAGGGTTGAGGTTGCTGTTGCGGATGCGTTGGATGAGATCAGAGCGGCGAAGGCACGGAGAGAAGGGATGGATGCGAAATTTGCCGCGGCTACCCTTGCGCCATCGCGAGGAGTTGAGGATGCGGAAGATGCGGAGATTGCGCGCGCTGTCTTCAAGGGGGCGAAGAGATCTTCGCCGGATTCTGGATTATGTGAAGTGTCGCTGCAAGTGGAGTTTGCAGTGTCTAGGCCCGCGAAGAAGGCCAAGAAGGATTTTACGAAGACGTTGGGGATTAGGAGGAAGATGGATGTCTAAGCTGGTGTGTACCCTACACGTGTCTTCCACGCACATGCTTCATCCTGGTATGGATTCCAAAGGACAAATGATCGCATATAGGCAATGCCAAACATAATCATCTGTGAACTTTACGCCGCTAATCGCTATCTGCCTCCGAAAATATTACAGGAAGGTCAAAAACACGGGGTATTTCGGTAGGAATATCACGATCCCTTCGTATTCGACTCTCAATCGAACGCTCAATGCCTCCCCTCACAAATCGCCATCGTATGCTGCGCATGTTTGGTATCATCAACCACAAATCGATATTGAGCTGCCACGTTCTTCCAATTCTGCAGCCGAAAATTGGTGGATCGTGAGGTAAAGTCTTGAGCAAATGGTGGCGAACAGATCTTGGATTGATTCTGCTTTTAACGTCATCGTTATCGAGTATCATGAACCACTGTTGCGCCATCGATATACACATGTGTGTGCGGTTATAAGCTGAAGAAGAGTTGTCCAGGCGACTTGCAAGGCCATTGCCGATATTAGCATGGGACGATTTGACTTGTGTAGTAACAATCTTGAGTAAAAGTTCTTGCGGAAGCATGAAGTAGTCCGGGAATACTCGAAGCGATGGATCCAGCATACCCATCATACCAAATACTCGATCTTGCCATTTCGAGCATACTGTTCCCCGAATCAAATCTTTGACAGATCCCCAGTTCATGTATGTAATGCCTCGGCTTCGGTTGATGGTGTATATCCGATTACACCCTTTATATTCTTCATCTGTCAAATCTTCGTCTCGCTCTGTTTTACGCAGACAGTTCCAGGCTGATACCAACGTCCTCCAGCCCTCGTAGAATGTGTCCCATGAAAGGATCTTCGAGCCAACCCGTACATGAACGACCCTACCGAGTACGATTTCTTGAGTGACCCATAGTCTCGACCAATATGCTAGACGTGCGAATTGGCGCAATAAAGGTATTGATTTACGCATCTCCTGCCTGCTCACGAAGAGCTTCGATGGGATATGCCGGCGCGAGGAATAGCTTTCTTGGATGATCATGTCCATGAGATCGTCACTTCCTTCGAATCCAGAACATAGCCAAGCCTCAACGACGAAGGCTGCGCTATATATCTCTGCCATTTGATTGACCTGGTGAACCTTTTCTTCGTTTTTTTCTTGATCAATACAGATCTGATCGATCCAGATTGGAGCCAACCCACGATCTCGTTCTAACATGTGTGATCTCCTGAGCGCATAGTGGGAGATGGGTACCTCCAGGAACTTACGCATACGGACGCTTCGCCGAACCAAAAGCCAGTCTCGTTTCATCTTTAGGTAGTTGTACAAATTTTGGCGTATGGAAAGCCAGCCTCGACATTCGGAGCTTGTGACAAAAATGTCCTGCACTGGCAATTCGGGGCCCCAAGTGTACGATAACGCGATGAAATCGAAAGTTTCTTGGAAAGATGCCTCGTATATAGCTTCTCTTTCCTCTGTGCTAATCCATTCGCTAGAAGTACGTGTAGCTACCACCTCACGGTAACGAGTGACAGCCTCAATATGTCCACTGAAGTCGACGTTCTTCATGGTGATTTGGATAGGGCTCGACGGGTCGACAGTTCGTTCGATCGTTATGAGGCGTATCTCCTTGTCTTTGAAATTCAGCGGAGTGTGTATGAAGCGCACATGCTTCGGTGGCAGTTCCATCGCTGTGGTAAGAGTGCGCGCGAATATTCGCAAAGCTGTTGAAACGACATGAGCTTTCGTAAAAGGGTGTCTTGTAAAATAGTAGACGAAACCGGGTGCGACCCGATTTGCAGCGTATGGGAATCTCGTGCTGTAGCAAAGAGCGAGGATCTGTGGGATTCTAGGTTAAAGGGGCGGAGAGTGGGTTTAGGGGGCGGAGTAAACACTCTTAGCAGCCTGAGGCACGAAGGCGGCTGGCCTGAACATATTTCATGCCGTAGGCGATGCGGGCATAAGCCTGGCGGAACACGATACTCGATGGGCTGGATTCGGTGCCCTTGTATAGAAGCAACATGGGACTCTACCTCACATTATCAGTAAAGCCAGTTGATGCGTGCATCTCCATGTGATATCGATGCATCGATGCGCTCCTTATCTGCTCATAGAGAGAGTGATGCAGCGCAAAACCTCGTTGTTTTCTAAGCACCGGAGCTACACCGGATTAGGCCTAAGAGCTGTTGCGGGAACACCTGGGCATGTTCGTACACATCCAGTCCATAATGATAGCACCAATAAGGTCAAGAAAGTAGCGAAGCTATATAATCGACTGAGATGTATATCGCTCCAACTTCAGTCATTCACCATTACAATACGCCCAGACTTCTGCATATCTTCACACCCTAGATGTCGACTCATCACGATCACAAACATTTGAAGTCTACTAAAGCTCTTCCCTCCTTCCCCATGTCTCACTCATCAACTCATTATATGCATACGCGAAATGTCCCCCATTGAGATACCATACCTACCATGCGCTGTAAGCGATTCATCATCCAAATGAATCACCTCCACTACCCCCCACACACCGGTAACACAACTTCGACCCTCACCTCTCGAGCTCCCTAACACAACATAAATTCTCCGACGCAAGCACTGCAGGCACTGCAAGCAACCCCCATCACGTCCCACGCGTCGTGCGACCAAAGACTCGACAGCAAAAGCCCGGTCTGAGCCGGGTACTCACACCGTGAGCTGCATGGCCGCTGGATGTCTGGTGCTTGTGGGGCGAAGAGAACGCATGGATGTGAGGTGCAAGGTGCAAGGTGCCGATGCAGGAAGGAAACTGAGCTTCGAAGGGCTTGGGCTTTGGGCTTTGGGCGTCTGTGTTGCTTTTGTGTGGGATGGCCGTGCTGGGAGGAGATGCTGATGTGGGCACGATGACGAAATGTTGGAGTAGGCCTTGTCGACGTGTTCGGACTCACGATGCGATGACGAGGCTGAGCTCATTCTCCCGGGTCCTGGCCCGTAGAGTAGAATGGTAAGAGTCATACTTCGCCAACAAACCTTTAGACTATTGCTGCCCAAGACCCGATCTCCGCCCAAACCTTTCTTCTTCCTCTCCGTCCTCTGCTACAGACGCAGGAAGCCGACCGTAGAATATACTCGGATAGATGCCTGCGAGCTTCCACAGCCATGAGTCCGCCTCGCTAGCCCACCGCAGATCCATGTTTCCTCGCTGCATCCTCGTTTTCCTTCGTACGAGCTCGCGGGTTCGGTAGCTAGCTCCCTATGCCATGCCATGCGGCCATCCCAGCGTCGGGCATCGCCTACGTGCGTTCCATATGCGTTCTGCCTAGGAGGCGAAGTCGACGATAATAGCGTTCCGAAGTCTGTATATCGCGCTACCTGGTTCATGCATGTTCGCAGCAAGATTTGGAGAGGGAAAGAACATCGTAGCGTATGACGCGTGAAGAGAACCGTGGAAGGAAAAGAAGACAAGTCGTCGTCTAAAGCGCTGGGCACTTACCAGCCAGTGGGCTGTCCCGGACGCTCTTCTCGTATGCCCAATGACCTGTGCTCATGGGCTGATCATGCAGCTTCGCGTGGGATGCCGGCGAGATGGCACACTAAAGGCAAACCTTGCTAATTGGGGGTGTGCAAAAGACAACCATGGTCGATCGTGAACGTTCGCCTTTGTTAGTACGACGCCAAAGTGGGAAAAGCATAGACAGAGGCTCAGCTGTCACGCCGTTGGAACTGGTACAGCGCACGGAGAGGCTGAGCAGCGAAACGCTCTGGGCAACTGTCGGAGACCGCCTAGTTGCATATGCGCCCTTCGGAACGCCTACCCGCTGTCAGTCTTACGCCTGTCCTTCTTGTGTACACGGCCGGGTGTGAGTGTGCTGTTGTAGCTTGCCGTGAGGAATGTGTGACTGTGAACACCTTTTCTCGGGCCGGTCGTACGTGTACGGGAAGCCGCTTGTGTCTTGGGCGGAAACACGGGAGCAGAGGCATGTCCAATTGTTCGTATGGCGGATGCAGCAAACTCAAACGCAGTGATACGCTCGTAGATGGGGATGTCTGCAGGTGGCTAGATGGGGACCATCGTTGTGTTACTTGCGTTGTCCAAGGGAGCCCGTTACAGTAAGGGGCGTTCCGAAGCATTGGACTGGGCGAACACATGTCGAGAAGCGGCGCAATGCTGTACCACTTGTGGGGATATCGTGCTAGCATTGAGCAACGATCTGATCATGTTGTGGAAGGTTTCTCGCAAGTGGCTGATGAGGCAGACTTGGGTGGCTATCGTGCAACCATGCAGCGCCATTGCATGTTCTTTGTGCGACTGACAAAGTTTGGCATCGCCCTAGGAGGAGAAGGAAATATGCGGAGATGCTCGCTGGTACGGAGATATTGAATATCAGTGACTTGGAGATGTATTTCCGGTGTCCACGAGCGAAAACGCACCGGTGATGGAAGGTTTTGGTGTCATGACTTGGAACGACGCCTTTTCTGGTCTGGAGCGATGAACACTCAAAGTACTATAGATGCGCAGCGCCACGGACAACCGCATCGGCATGGAGGCATGCTTTTGAGACGCCTGCCTGAGAAGAAGGGTCGATCACGTCGAGATGGACGTGCTCAGCTAAAACAACGAAGGGATTCCAGGCATCAGGTTCCAGCAACACAGCACAGACTGGTACCCGCAAGGTGGATGTTAATCGACAGACCCGACAGTTTGTCGTGAGACGGAACGGTGACACCGACAAACAACAAGCCACGAAGCTTACTGCGCGCAAGGTCCGCTCCTTACTTTGAGGCCTCAGATCGGCAATCCCTACGCAGAAGTAAGTATCCGGTGTGCAGTTTACCGAACCCGTTCGTCTATCTGTGACGCCGCACCTGGCATGTCACATGCTCACAAAGCGAAAGCGAAATCGCGCCTAAGCAAAAGCCAATTCGAGGTACTTTCGGGGCGCACGAAAAAGCATGCTTCTGGGGTGCGTACGGGTGTCGGAAGAAAGAAAGAATTGATGCAAGTACGGTATACGGTAGCAAGGAA